TTCATCCCAACCCATTATTTCTTTCAAATAAATTACCATCTAACCACCCAATCTAGTTTGTGGTTTCAACTAAAGGTGTTTGAAAACAGTCAATAGTTGTCGAACTTCGACCCAGAAACAGAGGGAGCAGCACCTCTGGTTGTTTGGACATATGCAACATAGTCACTGTATTGCATGGTGAATAGTGTGCTCTGGTAACGGGTCAGTCGGATACGCTTTCGGAGTGACTCAGTTATGGTTCCATTGTAACCTGCTTTTCGCATCAGTGAGTCAATCGCTTCTGTCTTTGTCCAACCTGAAATCAAAAATAAGCCACCAGCACAAAAAACTGTTTTACCAATCAAAATTGAGGCTTAACAAAAAGGCTAAGCTCAAATCATTTTTATCATAAGCTCACAACACAAACATAATTAAAACACAATATGCTTTGCTCTAATGGAATCCAAACAAGATTCTAGCTGCTAAACTAACTTCAGCTCTCCTAAGCGGCACGCATCAGTTTTCTAAATAAAGTTTTTTTGGCCCACTGTTTTGGGGGGTGGGGTGGTTCAAAGTTACCTAGCTTTACTGCAGTGGAGTGGCTTTTTGAGAAAAGATGAGGGCAAACTTAGTAAGATATCGGGGAGGCGAAATATGCGAGTTTGCAATATATGAGATCGCAAACTTAGTTCGAAGCTAAATATGAATTGAGAGGAAATATTAATAAAACTTCTAGTAAAGATCCCGATCTTTCCTAGTACTAGCATCCGTACCTAAACTAGCGATAGGATTGATTACTCTAAGATACTTAATCTAAGCATGTGTCTGACTTTAACTAGTTCTATAAAAATGTACATATATGTGTGCATGTGTATATAATAATATATATTTATAGTTTTCTAGTAGTTTTTGAAGTCCAATAGTATAGTATGTTTTATCAAAGGAGTGGAGGTTGGAAGAAGCAAGATAACAATCACTTGAAATGTCTTTTCCATATCTCTCCCTCATGTTTCAAAAACTCAGGAAGCAGAAAGTAGAACAACCAGTGAAGTAAACTAAGATGGAGAAAAACTAACATAAAAGAGAAGCTTGACTCATTGCTTAACCATGCAAAACTAAAATGTCTTCAAATAAAGCAACTTGTGTTCCTAAGCAACGGTGTTTTCCCTTAATAATAATGTTATTACTGAAAATCTTACAGATATGAAAAAGAAGAGTTGAAACACAAGAATAAGTTGGGAAAAAGAAGGAAATCAGTAAAAAAAGGGTCTCGGCTTATCTTAGAAAGCTTATATTAGAAAAATCATGTCTGGTAGAGCATTCCCAGTCATTCTGATAGGCTCCTACCATCTTTTCAAGTTAAATTTTGTGCTAAGGAAACTTAAATAGAAAGCATATGCACCGCATGTTACCTTCATGAGCAGCCACCTCAGGCAGGTATGTGGCACTTCGCCTTGTATTATGGTCAGGATCAGTAAACTCAATAATTATACCATGCTTTCCAATCTACAAGAAGGCACAAAATTCTTGAGGAAAAAAATTATGTATGACTTTGACAAACGAGTACGTAGGTAAGGTAGGTCAAAGTTAGAAAGCTTTATTTGTTTAAATTATTTACCAACACTACCCAACATAGAATTCTTTTATCGGCCAGTTAGTATCCGATCATCCACTTAAACAATTCACCGATATCTTATGGAATGCTTTATAGTAGGGAAAAACTTATTCGAATAGCTAGGTGGGAAGAAACAAAAAGTTAGTTCGAGACCTGAAACACTTACGTCAAACTGTGTATATGTGTGAGTGCATACAGAGATATATGGGAAAGTGTGACGTTTGGTGATTATGTGTGCAAGTAAAAATATTCAGTCCTGCACAAACATATTTTCTGGCCAATGCATTGGTAAACTAAAATAACTGTTTATGAGATCTTAATGAAATACTAACAGAAGCAAATCCTTGAATTCAGTATTTCTTGCCACCAACACATCAATTAGTAACGCATTTTATTGTTTGAATCAACATGTTCGAGATATGCATAGACCATCGAGTCTTGATTTAAGACTAAAACTAGTTTGGGAACATACCTCCCAGTCAAGGTAATGGAGAGCAGTTTCATAATTAACCAGAATGGAAACTGTACATTCCAAAAAAGGCAACTCTTTGGCCTGAATGGGCGGGAAGCGGCGGTCCCTTAAAGCGCTGCAAAATAGCACAAACACAGAAATATTTAAACCACTGCTTCAAGGTTGATCAATATTAACACAAATGCATTAAGATAATGTGATGTGACGTACATATATCTCACACAAGCACTTGAGATATATAATGGACAATCTATTTGTCATCCAAACAACATAGAAACAAGAAGGTCACACAGTAGAGATGCCTTCTGCAGAAAAGAAAGTATTAATTACATGCTTTGTCAGAGATCAAGAAGGTCTGATTAAGGGTAGTTGATCCCTCAATGTAATTACAAGGGCAAGAGAAGAAGAAAGGCAAAATAAAATAAAAGAAAGGATTTGAAACTATTCCTTGTTTTTGCACCCCACAATGACCTACACAAAAAAAAAAATAAGAAAAGGTACATGGCTCCCTTGACGTCAATTAAATTGCTGAAACTGCCCCTATGGACTATGGCACAAACCTTATAATGGCTTTGCTAAACTATATGCAGATATGATATCAAACCCTTGTAAACATGCCATATCAACTGGATAAGGTCAAACCATAATATCTTTAGAAAGTTAAGACTGGCTGTTTATTTAGGAAGCCTTACGACTGGTTATGTCATTAGGAAGTCTTAACCAAAACCTCAGAAAAGCATAGTAAGCCTATAACCTTTGATATAATTTGAGAAGATGGGGCATTAAAATCTGTGATTGTAAGCACTTTCAACCATCCAATATAGCACACTTGATTTTGCTAGTCCATCAATAGATAAATAGGTAAAGATGATTCTAGATCCCCAACTATTTGGTTCAAAAAATTTTAATGGGTCTGTTAAAATGTTGGAGTTAATTGCACACCAGAGTTAAAGATCTAATCCAACTCATGAAATATCAATAAAAACAAAATAAAATCAGAACGAAAAAGTAAATGAGACTACGAAAAGAAAAATACTCCAGATTAGTTCTTTAATCATTCAAATTTAATATCATACACACACATGCAAGCACAAGTGGAGCGCACACACACACACACACACAGAGGGAGAGATAGCATGAGCACCGCAGGACATAAAAAAGCCAATACTTTGCAAAATCAAAATACTTTGCTCCCATAATACCTTGTTAACGCATAGTCCTTGAAACCATTGATTAAGCAGCGAGCTTCCAATGTTCCAATGCACCCACGTAAACGAGGCTCCCCACCATTAACCACTTTCTTCCAAGTAACAAATAATGGGCTGGAAGTAAATTGTAATTTGGGAAAGATAAGAACATCATATCCAACAGGGTTCTGGCTTGTGAGTTATAGCCGTAATTAACATTGCATTTACAACATATAAAAGGCCTTGTCTCAAACTCCAAATTTGGGAAAAAAAAAATCATAAGTAGAACATTTAATCACCTGCAACGTTACAAATAATGTAACTCATATGCTTACCGCCAATGCAAGTCAAAAATGCAAATGGAGCTTATTTTGTTAGGGCTCCACATAACAGTGTAAGTGTGGCACATGACCACGGAAAAAGAACTAGTGAAATGTCACAAAACACTAATTTCAAAACAGGGTGACACTTCTGAAATTCTTCTCTTTTATCCTCTATATATACAAAAAAAAAGTCTCACTTATAAGATGTAAATGTAAAATCATTGTTGAGTTTGAAACCTCAATAATCATGGTACCACAGGTATATTGGGATATGAGAAATCAAGAAAAGCAAGGCAAATAGCTATGAGAAGAGCAATGAGAAACCAATAAAGACAAATTTCCACAACATAAGCAGTAAAAAAAGACATTCATACATCTTTTAAAAAAAATTAATCTCAAAGGCAATAATGCGCAAAATTTGAAATGTGAATATAAACAAATAAAGCTTAAGCAAGTAAACAGTCTAAGGGTGGCTAGTCGAAAGAACAGTTCAATTCCAAGTACACTGGTATTAGAAATAAGAAAACAAAGCATTAGATATTGGGTTGCCTCTGCTCCACAATCGAATGCAACCACAAATTGTTCTTTTTTCCCATGTAAAATATTTGCACAAGTCACTCGTTGCCCCTGTAAAAAGTGAACCATTTAAACTCAAGGCTTAACACATTACCCTATATTTCCTTTTTTTTTTTTTTAACTACCCTGTATTTCACCAAACCCTTTTGTTCCCTAAAATTTTGCAAAAAAATCTGCTTTCGTACAAAACCACATCAACCAAATCACCCATATAAGCTAAAAAGGAAAAAAAAAAAAAATTTGTCCAGTCTGATCCCGTTACTTGAGCGTGATGAGAGGGGTGGCAGTGACAAACTATGCCCTCACACTCGAAGCCACAACCTTTCCCCTGTTAATCCAGCATTTGCGCGTATAGCTATTTTTCCAACAACCTCGTTGAATTAACCCCAAATTATTAAAAGAAAAAAATTTGGCCGAGAAACTTACTATAAAAAGAAACCCAGAAAGAATAATGATATATAAATCCTATAGCACGAGAGAGAGAGAGAGAGAGAGAAGGCGTACTGTTGACCCTCATCGAAAGCAGGAGGAGGGGTTTGTTCGCTGTTGTAGTGGGCGACCAGTGTGTCGAAGCAATACACCACCATCTCCCTATTTGCCGACACCATTTTTTCTTTTTCTTTCCTAAAAATCTTCAGAGAGAAATGGGGTGCGTGGAGAATTTCAGATACCCAGATCGATGATCAATTGATCTGATTATCAGTTATCCACCAATTATTCTTCTACTCTGATGGAGAGAATAGAGGTTTCGTGTAAGCTACTGCCGAGAGCCTTCTTTTAGGCCCTTTGGCTTATAACTTTCCTTAATGCTCTGAGACTGAGAGACTCCTTTTGATTCCGGGAATTATTGAAGAGTAGCCTAGTTGAACAATCTTTCCCTTCCCTATAATTCCGCTAATAAAATAAAGAAAATTGGGACCTGCAAGTTAATCTGTATAGTAATTGAATTATAAATAGATTTTATTTAATATTAAACTTTATAATTAATTTAATAATTCTATTTCTGATCAGATCCTTAAATTAGATTATTATAACATTGCTATTAGGACAATTAAAAATACCCTAATTCCCAATTATTGGTTCTGATCATGATGTGATATTATTCTTAATACTTGGTACTATAGTATAATCTATATCTATACTACTTATAAATATCATCATCTACAAAAAATTTAATTTTTAATTTTTTCCTAAAGTCAATTATACTAACCTATATACTTTCATTAAATTTTTATTTTTTATTTTTATTTGACTTTTAACTTATTTTGAACTTTTTTGTAAGAATTTTTAAATTCTTTTGAACTTATTTGTTAGTAGTATAATTACATACAATCTTTTATATCTATATGAAGATGTAAAATTTACATGTAGTTACCAAATTGAATAAATGTCGGTCTCTACAAAAAAAAAACACATTAATTTTATATTATATCCCTAATTATTATAATAAAATCAATTATACCTATATATATACTTTCATCTAATTTTTATTTTTTTCCCTTATTTAACTTTTAATTTATTTTGAACTCTTTTATAAAAGCTTTTAAATTCTTTTAAATTCATTTATCAGTAGTATAGTTACATACAATCTATATCTATATAAAGAAATAAAGTCTTATACATATTACATTACATATAGGTACTAGATTGAACTTCATTGTCAAATATATATTATATTTTATTTTTTTAGTATGTAATAATATAATAACATTATAAATGATTTAATCAATCTATTTAATAAAATAAAAGTTAATAATCTATATAATAAAGTAGTTAGAAAAATTTGTCTTGAAATTTTTGCGGTTCAAATTGCTTGATGATTATTGACCCGATAGTCCTCATGCCAAAATTTTCTAAGGCTCATATCTCTCCTCTAACTGTCTTCATATCTCATTCTAATTGATATAACTCTTTCCCTCCCTAATTGGACTTTTATTTTTTTTACAATTCTAAGACTTTCATCTCTTAGATAACTCTCTTGCTCTATCTCATACTCTCTGTCCTATCTCTCACACATTTCAACATATACTCTATTATCTCTCATATAACTCCCTCTTAGACGACTCTATATATTTAATAATAATAAAATACATTTAATACCCATTAAAATTATCTATCTCATACTAACTAATATAACTCTCTCTATCTCATACTCTCTCCTCTCTTTCTCTAATTGGACTTTCATTTTTTTTACAACTCTAAAACTTCCGTATCTCATTTAACTCTCTCTATCTCATATTTTCTCTCTTATCTCTCACATTTTAAACACACTCTTTCATCACTCATATAACTCTCTCTTGGATGACTATATATATTTAATAATAATAAAATACATCTAATACTCATTAACACTCTAATAACAAAGATTACCTCTAACAAATTATAGGTTCATTAACATATGTTATCCTATATGTATTTTATCTATCTATATCTATATGATCTTAATTGGATTTTCATTCTTTTTATATTTCTTTCTCCTATCTCTTACACATTTTAAATACACACTCTCATCTCTCATATAACTTTATTTCTCTATCAACCTCATACTCACACTCTCTCTCTCTATCCTAAACGCTTATAATAATAAAGTAATAGTAGTTGAAGAGTTTGGTTTGAACAACTATATACATCTAATAACAACAAAATACATCTAATACCCATTAAAACTCTAATAGCAAGGATTCCCTAACAAACAATTTAAACACACTCTCCCATCTCATATAATTTTCTCTCTTTATCTCATAGTCTCATCTCTCATATGTTGTCTCTCATATAGCTCTCTTCCTATCTATCTCATACTCTCTCTCTCTCTCTCTATATATATATATATATACCCACCAACACACATGTCAATATCAGCTCTTACAAAAAAAAGAAGATATTTTTTAGGTATAATAATTAAATATATAAATTGTGTATATGCTGATATTTTTTTAGGGGTTGTGTTTTTAGAGGAAGTTTTGTCAAATTTTTAAAAAAAGTGTTTTCAAATTGATTTTGAATTATGTAACTAAAGAAAATAATAAAAAATAAAGTATTGTTTGAAAATATTTATATTGCATGACCGGTGGTGAAGATTTTTGAGTTATTTAGCGCTTTTAGACACAAATTATTATTAGTTTTATAATATAATTAGATGTGCAAATGCCTAGAGGGATAAAAAAGATACTTAAATAAATGAAATATTAGGTTCTCAAAGACTTATAAAATAAATATAATAATTAAATTTAACAATAATTAAAACATAGTAATTATTTGGCACATAATTTATTATTTAATTTAATTACATGTATAATTCATATTTTTTATAAAAAAAGATATTATTTAAATTTATTTGTGCAACGTACGTCGTACATTACTAATAATTAAAAATAGGGGACTCAGACAATAGGTACAAAGTCATGCACTTTTAAGATGAGTGATTCACCTTGGATACTTTTAAGGCGAAAAGTCTATAAAATATATAGTTGATACCCTTAACGAAGGATGTTGGTTAAATATTAAAATCATGACACCATTAAATATTTAATCAATAAAAATGACTGAAAGTAAACTGGAATTGTAATTTTATGGTAATATAACAAAAGTCATCTATAACGATTTGAATAATTAAAATTTAGATCTCCTTCTATCGTTGCTGTACATCCGAAAAAAGAATCTCCAAGTCACTGGTATGAGATGGAGACATGCACCAACCCAATGAGGTATTGGAAGAAACGCCACCCCTCCCCATCCACATTTATCAGTGAACTTGTTTATTGGATATTTAGATTAAATTTAAATCTAATCCTCCTCACAGAACACCGCCGCCGCCCCGCCCCGCCCCCGCCCCCCGCGGTGGATAAAATAAAAAACAACACCATCAACAACCAAGAAAACCCACCAAACCTCGCCGTACTTCCTCCCCCCTATTTACATTTATACGAGATTTCAGTGTAACTTGCCCATTAGATAGTCGGATTGAAATCGACTTATTTCAAATAGATTTTGTAATGGTCAAAATCTGATTTACTAACAAACCTAGTAGCGCCCAGGTGATTTCCCACTTCAAATTTCCATTATGAAGACCCTATTTAAATAATCCGATGTCTAAAACCATCCAAAAATGTTTTTAAGGTAACAATTGTGTAGGCATACACTTCCAAATTTATAGGAGGAAGTTGCATTCAGAGAAGGGGTAGTCCAAACGTACCTTTAGCCATACATTTTTCTGAAAGCAGCAGTACAGTGTTTGTTCCTGTTTTCAGTGAAGTTTTCATCCACTACAAACAGAATTCAAATTTCGGTTTCTATTTCCTTTATGATGTTTACATTAGGCTAATTTGATGCCTTTTCTTTTGTTGGTTGCCAAAATTATAGAAAAATCAAATAAATATTTAAACAAATACCAATTCTTGAACAAGAGTTCAGAATACATCACCCTATCAAAGTCGGAGAGATTATGCTAGTTTTGGGGAAAGCACTCAAATACATGACAAGGTTATACACTTCCAATTGGCATTCCTTCAGTCAGAGTCGTGTCTTCTCTTCTCCTTGTCTTTTTTGTGTTTCCTTTTGTCATCTGAATCACGAGAGTGTCGCTTCTCATGCTTCTTCTCTTCACGCTTCCTTTTCTTGCGGCTACTTTCATCTTCAGACTCCTGTTCATTGTTCCTTGCGGATGGATTAGGCATAGAAACAGTCGTCTTCTCAGGCAACTCCACCGTCAAGCTGGATGACAAAGAACTTGATTCTTCCCAACTGCGGGGTGCCCTGCAGTAATTCCAAGAAAAAAATATTTTACCCGATACAGGAGGAAGGGGAGAAAAAAGAAAAGGGGAAGATGATTAATTGCTAACTGTAATTTTTTCCTTTTCCACTGGAAGAGTCAAACCATGAACCTCCCTTATACCACCAAATCACTCAAACTGAACCATGCTCTTTTTTTCCTCTCTCTTTTTACATGGCTTTTGTCTCCAACCCAGCTAATGGGCTGGCCCCCCATATTCGCCCCACGACACCAACTATATCCAATGGGGCTCAAACACCTGAACTTCCTTGTGGCGAATGCAGGGTCACACCACTTGGGATATTAAGCCCATAGTGAACTGACTTAATGTCAATAAAAGTCAACTGAGGATAATGATGCAAAAGTTGGGCTAGTCAACGGAGTTTTTATCTATCATTGACCTCATTATCGAGCCACCATTGGGGAGTAATTGTATCATGTCAACTTTTCAAGAATTAAGAAGTGCAACTATAAGCTAATAGAATCCTTTTTGTTTTCTTTTAGTCATACCTTGAAAAACCAAGGCCATCAACCCGAGCTGCTTCAGCATGGCCTGCTCCTAAATCTTCGGCAGTTGAGCTTCTCTTTACAAGTTCTGAAAACTCATGCTTATCTAGTCGATTACCTTGAGGCCGTGTAGCACGTTTGGGAGCTAAGCCTAGAGCCTCCCTCATAGCCTGCTCCTCCTCTTCCTTGATCCTTCGTATCTCTTCTTTCGCAGCCTCCATATCCAAACTCCCGGAATTTTTATTCCTGTTGTACCAGTGTAAATCCTTCCCTGTGAAATTTGATAAAAGTACCACTTTAGATTTCTCCTGCAGAAGAGCATCTAAAACATACCAAATACTGAAGTAGAAGACAACAAAAAAGTAACTGAGCCATAAGATATATAAAGCCCTATATATTTGATGATGCAACACTATATATAGCTTCAATCCTGGAAACAATTTCAAAATTGGATCACTAGGTCACTGGGAATTAACAATGTCAATAAGGAGATCATTTTTGTTTTAATGAGACCAAGAACATTTTCCGGTTCTGTGCAAAGCTGACCAACAAGATGTAGAAATAGGCTGACCAAGAATTTAAAACCCCTTCACTGTATCATGTATGCCCATAGACATGTAATGTATTATTAATCAGCAAACAGTAGAAGAGGCTTTTTTAGTTTTAGCAGGGTACGATAAGAGAATCCACTTGACTCGACAGTCTCAAGGGCAAACAAATAGAGAAATTCAACGGACACCATTGCCCGGCAAAACACACAATTCTACGCAGTGCACAAGCATCTGCCATCTCAAAAAAAGTGGTGATACTATACTATCCAGAATGAAAAGGAGGGTGATCAAAGTTCAGCTAGATCTGAAAGGACAGGAAAAAAATGTGATGTTTCTTCACCATTTTCTCAACACTGATGAATCCTTAAGTAGGACACAAATCAAGTAGTTCTATATGTCAAAAAACCAAATACAAACAGATCTTGTTAAATAGAATGAACTGTTCCCTTTTGAAAGCATGTTTTCTTGAGATGCATCTGATAATACTGCAGTGAATGCAATTGATATCAATTACTACCACAAAAACCTTCCATAAAATGGAGTAATCTTGCGCTTTAAGAGAAGTGGATTATACCTACTTATTTTCTCTCTCTTTAAGATGTCAAGGAAGATTGTAATGAGAATTGAAAAAATGATGAGAGATTTCTTGTGGGAAAGAAGTGGTAAAGCGAAGAAGGATCATTTGATAAATTGGGAGATTGTTTCAAGAACTAAAGTTAAAGGTGGGATTCAGTGGAAATTTGAAGGCAAGGACTGTAGTCTTAGTTGATAAATGGCTGTGGAGATTTCCAATATGGATTACAAGCCAATGGATGAGAGGCTAAGGGGGTTTGATAAGGGAACTTAATGGTGCCCATGAAAGTTTATTTCTCAGGGGCTTTCAAGGTTCTCTCAATATGTTAAATTCATGGTGGGTAATGGAGAGATAGTTCGTTTTTGGGAGAATGTTTGGGTCCAGACATCTTGTTTGCCATGTATGTTTCCACGTCTTTATCATATATCTCGGTTTCATGGGTCTTTTATTGCTTCGTTTTATCGGTATTCTAATCAATCAATTTCTTGGGACTTGGATTTCTGTAAAAATTTTGATGATACAGATTTTGCAGAATTGGTGCCACTTTTATCCTTGATAAATGAGATCAAGTAGTTTCAAGATTTAAGCGATAAAAGAAAGTGTATTCTTAAGTCTTCTAATGTAAATCATTCTTTGATAAACTGATTGATGATCCTTTACACTTTGTGTTTTCTCCCTCTGTGATGATTTGGAAGGCTAAGGTGCCCATAAAGGTGCAAGTTTATGCATGGACTATACCTCATGGTAGGATAAATACTAAGGATGCGCTTCAAAGAAGACCATTTCTTTGTCTTTCTCCATAGTGGTGTGTGCATGTTCTAGTGAGATTATTGATCATTTATTTTTGAATTGCCCTATTACTTTGTTTTTGTGGTCCAAATTGTTTCAATTAGCTGGCTTGAGTTGGGTGTGATTCCCAGGACGTTTTCGTCTATGTTAGTGGAGGAATTTGAGGGATTAGGAAAGCAGAAGAAATGAGTGACTCTATGGCATTGTGCAATGTTGGCAACTATATGGGTAATATGGTTGGAAAAGAATTCAAGGATCTTTCAGGATAAATGAGAGTGGAATGAAGGTTTATGGAATCGCATTTATTTTTTAGCATCACTATGGGCTTCTGTTCCGAAGGAGTTTGCGGCATCCTGCTTTTTTGTATTTTGGCAAATTGGAGGGCCTCATATGATACATAATTTCTATGAGCTGATAATTGTTTTTTTTTTCCTGTTCATAGACGGATACATTGTCCATATATATTTTTCTATGAGGTATCATTTTTAAATTAATAATTCTTTTTTGTTTTTCAAAAAAAAAAAAAAAGAGAGACCAAGCCTTGTAGATTATTTTCAAGAGAGAGAAACTTTAATCTGTTTTTATGCTGCTAAATATACAGAAATTTTATTCTTGATCAATGGAGAAAATGAATTGCCCTTGCAAAAGTGAAAAAAACTAAACAAAAATAATGATATTGCCATTGAGATAGCTTCATCTATTTCACGAAGAATGAAGCTAAAAGAGTAATTCAAATCAGAAAGAGGACCACTCAGCAAGTGGGAAAACATTAAAGTGGTTATAAATCCAACATGAAGTAACTAAAACAACAAAAGACAAATAACAACCTATGAAATTCTTAATAAACAAAGAAAAAGAAGATATGACTAATAAGAACCCTACGGACATTAGTGCCCAACATTAAATAGAGGTATGTGACATGACAATTGGAAAATATTATGCAGTACGGCAATTAAAAGCCTTGTGCCACAAAAAGTTTTAAGGAATAAAATAATCATCAAACCAAACAAATAAGTTTTCTTTCCATTCAGAGGAAAACCATATATAAAACCATATAATTTCCCTTTTAATTTTTTCCAACATCATTTACACACTGAACTCAATCTCGAAAAGGTTTGTGTCTCTTCCTTACCACCATATTACAAGCACAAGACTATATGTGCAAGCATTCAGCAGCTAGAATCCTTTTTAATCAAGCATTTTGTTGGTCACCACTTTACAGAATTCAGGTGCTTGAAATGTATTTTCCAACAAAAGAGGTGCATGAGAGCCACTGGAAAAACCCACATAGAATAATAAAAGATGCACTCCCCTTAATTGGCTTGCAAAGGCAAAACTAGGAAGATCCTGTCATTGTTAGCATGGCACGGTTGCCCAGATGCAGTCAAACCATTAATTATTAATATTTAATATAGCTTAATAACCTCTGTGGGAATTTATTGAGGAACCGACTTCACTCCACGGTGCACAATAATACATTCACTAACCAATGATTGTAGATTTTTACGAAACGATTTACATTATGATGATCAGAGAGAATATATAAGAGTAACTACGTCTAGATGATCATGGTACACAATGCATGTCAAGGTTATCAAACTGAAGTTCCAAACCATAGAATGTACAAAATTTACAATTACCTGCGACCAAATTGATAATTTCACTTACAGGTTTATACATGCTTGTCATTAATCTAAGGTCACTATCTAACATGGTTCATACAGTCCAAACAAATGGTATAGGACTTGTGACATCTAGATTGTATAATTAATAATTTCAAGAATTTCACCAAGAATTTCATCATGCATAAAAAAGATAAGAATTCATAAAGTATATAACTAGATCACCTCAAAATAGAAAATGCAACAGATTTAACCTTTTTAACTGAGTGTATAGAAGCCTTTATATGGCTCAAGATAAACATAATAAAAATAAGTGACTAGGAGCAGAGAGCCCTTTGCAGTTTGCACATTGTTTTTGTTTAACCAGCCTATCTTCTCTCTATAAGCAAGCTCCCTCCAAGCCACTAAAACTGCTCTTGGTTCTTGTGTATCTTTGTGGATTACGCGGTTGTTGAAAGAGTTGCACAAGAGCTTGCCGAGCAAGTAAAAAGCCTACAAGGGCTTTTCCCTTACTAGTAAAGTGGTAAGGTCGGCTGCTATTCGACGAAGAAAACAGACTTTAGGAATGTGGTTCAGGTAGCTAAGCTGGTTAGAGATTGACAATCCTTGAACTCAGAGGTTCGAATCCACTTATAAGTGCATGCAGGGTCTGAACGATACAAAGCCGAGAGTGAGCCAGATTTGGAACTTCCAGTGAAACAACAATCCATCAAATGTGAGCACTCCTGCCCTATATGGCTTTTTGGCATCACCATTTGTTGGAGGCAGATTTTAATTACGAAGTACTAGAACTCGTGATACCAGTGATTAAAATCTCATATTGCCTCGTGCACCTGCTTAAGGCCTTTGGTTGGCAATATTAGGTCATTATCCAGCCTATTTCTTTATCGTGTTATACTTGATTAAAAATCTACAAGAAACCCCATACCTTGTGGACTGAGGCTGTAGTAATGACTCATAGTTTCTCTTTTCCCAGTAGTTGGGTTTATGTGTACTAATGTGCAACTAACTACACCATTATGTAAGCATAAAAAGTCTAAGGTGTCAAAGCTGAAATGATCTGCATAAGCTTCTATCCCGAGCAAGGCCGGTTGAGGTTAGTTTGATTCAACCCCTACCCCAAATCTCGATCTTCTCTCCAATATCCATCCAACCTAGCTCCTATTCAGAGCTCACAAATTTGTGCCAAACTCATTTTCTACATGACAAACACCAAATTGTCCACTCATATGTTATGAAACAAAGATGAAGTACTCAAATGCCATAATGTAATTGTCACATCAAGTCATAAACAATTAATTTTCTCTAAGATCCAAGCAATCATGCACCAGTCACTTGTATCTCCCTATTATGTGGTTATAAATGACCAATGATTCCTAATGACAGTTACCATACACATCCACTCATGCCATAAATTCCCAATATTTTCACATGGTAAAGCCGTAAAGGTATCAAAAAACTGATACGAAATCAACACTCCAAACCATACATTGTTTCAATATCCTGAATAAACATGCCGAGGCTGGGACATACATTCACAAAAAATTTCATTTGCATACATAAGATAATGAATCCTAAATTAACAACATACAGTATTTGGAGTTAATGTCCTCCCAGCATCAAATAGGTAATAAACCCAAAATTTTTAAATAAGATGGCTCGATTATGAGTAAGAAGTCATGGATACAGCAAATGGCATGGGAGATCATTATCTAAATCTTCATTCAAGCGATCTCAAAACCAAGGGCTGTAAACTTCACATCAGCATGGATTATCAAATAAAACATGTCATTTGTCTCAGTTTTAGAATTCAGCAGAGGAATTTCAAAAATTATAAAAGATAGCATCAAAAGCTGAGCTATATCAATATCAATATAAAAATACCAAAAGAAGAGCCTGAAGCACCCCAGGCTACCATCTCATCAAAGAACTCTCATATTCGGTCAACATTAACATAAAACATTATTTTAGCATTGGTTAAATTTCTCAATCACAAGCAATATTTGACTTACTAAATCCACCAACGCTCAATTAGAAGGATTGCCCACAAGCCCGAGCCATATTTGCTTACAATAACTAAATTAGTACCAACAAGCAAGCAGTGGTTAAATATAACCTAATGGCTGCAACACACAAACTTAAGCAAGATAACTCGAACTCAGCAAGTGATATCAGCTAAACCAATAAAAAGGCCATATGTCTTCATGTTCACATAAAAATGATATTTTAGGATGTGTAAATTATAAAGAGAGG